TATATAAATTGAAAGTAGTGCAGTGGCAGTAAATGAAGTCAGAGAAAGGAGACATGATGAAATCTAAGACAAAGCTCAATATTGCAACCTGTGACAAAAGTTGTTCAGAAGCAGTTTCGTACACTTACATTACATGTGAAAGGCCACTTTCAAGATTCCACTCAGACCAAAACCTCTCTAATTCAATACTACCAAAAACAAGTTGTACCAGGACCAGATAGTTAGAAAGTAGTAAGAAATACTGATAAACAAAATAAAATGGTGGTACCACTTTTAGTACGCTTTTGTGATTGGTAACCATAAAATCGGTAGCAATTCCAAAACACATCGCCTCGTAAGATTGCAACTTGAAGCAAAATGGAAAATAGTATGAAAAAACTCTTGCGAATGAAATCGATTCACATCAATACTACCTCTAACTCACAAGTTAGTAGTATGTAGTAGTACATGTGAAAATTTATTCTCCACTAGACTAAAATCCCCCAAACCCAATTCCTAAACCCTAATCCTTCTCATCCTTAATTCCTTATTAGTTAATCTGCGTAATCTACAGATTCTGCTCTTAAGTAAAACAGAATCTCCCTAACAATTACACATCTTTACATAAGAACACAAACAACAACACAACATTCATATCAACTATCAAAGTCTGCATACTTGAGAGAGGCTTCTCATTCATGGCAATACCTTAACCCATTCGTATCGCCCTGACAACGGATTATCCGCCACGATATCAAAGTTGTACCTACATAATCAAAACCAGTTTCAGGAATCCATGGCTTAAAATTCAAATCAAGAAACCAAAACAAATCTTGAAATTGTTTACTTCTCTGTAAAATGTCTCTGTTGTTTATGCTCTGCAAATTCAAAGAACTCTTCAATCTCACAAGTACAAGCAATGGCTTCTGAATTTCTTACTAAGTCACTCGTCCTCCTAAAAGAACACAATCACAATCACAAATCAAATCGAGAAATTAGGGATTTTCGAAAAAATGAAACAGAATTGAAATTCATTTACCTAATTCCCGATTCGCAATCGAGGATATTGTTCTCTCCGATCGAAGCATCTGATTTCGCCGTAGCAAGATTCGCCTTAGGGTTTCTCGATTCACCGTCGTGGACACGGTGTTTGAGCTGTTTAGGTTGTTTCCTCGATTCGATTAGTAACTGAGGTTTCTCTAGACGGCGATTACGGAGCTGAAGGTAACGGAAAGATTCTGCGTCGGTTACTGTTGACGGAGACGGCGAGTGAGAGTGGAGGCGTAACAGAGCGAGGTTTTTGGCGGCTCTGGTTCGGAAACCAAGAGTAGATGGCTGAGAGAAATCCATAACGACGGAGATCTT